GTCAGCAACGGAGTCGCTACCCGTTTTGAACGGAGGAGGCAGACAGCGCGATGCCATTACAGCACGTCAGGAAAGGCTCCACGAGAACGACATCACCAGCGGGAGCTTATAGTCGGAAATTGGAAGTTTAAAGATTCGGCAAAATAATTCTACGAATAATAAAACTATTAAAACGTCTGAAGTACCTTGAACTGAATCTGGCTATGGTACGTAGTAGAGCAGTTAATTTAGTTTAAAGTAGTTAAAAGTTAGTTGAAAATAGTAGCGTGTGCGAACCGTGGGTGTTTGTTGTAGCGCAGGGTGATTAGGCTTTATAGCATCATAGAAACTGTAGAGGTTTCCTCTGTCCAAACGTACAGCCATGAATATACCTTGTATTGAAGCATAGCCAGTCGATTAGCTCGCGCACGAAGGAAAGTGAGTCGAAATCCCTTGTTTAACAGATTTTTAGACATTCAACGTTTGTCTAAAAACATTTCTAATTCAGTTTGTCAAAATGATCATACTGTATGGCAGTGTTGGTCCAAGCCAACTGCAATTAGTTGTAATTCCTGCATTATGATGATGTTTTAATGTTTTTAGGTTAAGCAGGTTTTCCGTGATGCCCGATTTATGTAAATTGCCTCGAGCTACAAATCCAAGTCATAGTTTGAGTGTGCCTTCTTCTGTCAACATCAGACATGCAGTATTTCATCGATGGGTTGTGGTTCAGTGCGCAAGAGCTAAAGGCCAGCTTTGAACTCGAACTCCGGAGGCATTGAGTTTGATTCTTGCATTCGGTAATCTTTGTCTTTAACACGATTTTTTTTGAGCAAAGAATTTACCACATGCGCTTCGAACCGGAACCATTTGATCGGTAGAACGCAAGACCCAAAACGGAGAGATTGTTGGTTCGAGCTCCTGACAGGGCCACTCGCTTTTTTACTTCCGGGACGATAGATGAGTACCATTCTGATAAATTAGTGGCAGGCAAACAGAAAATTACAATTTGCGATTGTCATAGATCTGCTACCGATTCTTCCTTTAAAAAAATAAAGCACTCCTCACTGTTGACATGTAAATGAAGATCGAAGCCCCTCCATTAACTTCACGATAACAAGAATGCTAGAGTTATCCGCATCATGTAAGTACAGGGAAGACCGACATTGAAATGTTACAAATTTTCCTTCCATTTTTCTTTTAAATCCAGGTACTGTAGGGGTCGAATTCCATTGAGTCATGTATAGAGCCAATCTCCATGTCAAGATTCATGCAATCAACAGTAGCTAATTCAAAAATATGAATTATGAGAAAATGAAAAGACCATGTAGCCACTGAAATTCTATTTGCCCGATATTTAAATGGCGGGCACCATTTTTGGCGTATTTCATTCATGGAGCTAAATTGCAGTTACAGTCTCTGTTATGATGCTCTTATTTAAAAGAGCACTATTTTTTGAATATTATATCCACGGTTAGATGGCTATTATAGGATGAAGTCGTTTCTCCACATGTTTATGCATTTCGAAGATGAAATCATTGACTTTCTCTTGTCGCTGTGTTCGCTTATTCGATTCATGAACAAATACAGCGTAACGGTGATATGCATTTGATACTAAAGAGACTTCTGCAGAAGAAAAAGATTCTACCAGTAAAACTTACCATGGTGGTACATCGTCTCAACTGCTTATGTGGCGCATATTTATCAAACGGTGAGAAATCTCATAAAAATTATATAAAAACACGTGGCTTACAGAAACAAAACAGGTAAGAATATCTCAGCGGTAGCATTGCATAGCTTCCTGCAAAACCGCGCCATCCCTCAGAAATCCAGCAAAATAAATCGAAAGGAAGGTAGGTGAATAAAAGGAACAAACTGGAAGCCATTTTTTCCAGCCGAACAAAGAGAAAACTCAATGTACGAGAAATTACACATGCGATCGATTCGGTGCAGGTAATTCTACTATTATTCTATAATATACTGGTAATACTGCAATATATAAGGTAGTTGGATTACTACCTTGTATATTAATTGTTCCTTATGTCAAAGCAATTTTTTACTATAGACAGCTTCCCACAACTCTTTGCGTTACGTTTCCGATTTCAAGTCAACCTGACTGCAAATAGACTTCCCATCAAA